CTGGGCTATGTGGTGAGCATACATATACAAGTAATGAACCAAGCCTTACTCTCAAAATAGCTTACATTCTAATGGGCAGGGAGAGGGTACATATATAAGCCTACATAGAATAAAGAAAATAAATTCAAGATCGTTAGGGAGGGGAGCACTTGCTGTTAGGGGAAATTGGGAAAGCCTTCATAAAGAAGATGGTAGTGTATTTGAGCTGCTTCCTAAAGTAATTCTGTTGGGTAGAGATGAGGAGGGAGTAGATTCCAAGCATGGGGGATGGCCAGTGCAAAGTCACGGAGATGGGAGATGGGAATGAGCTATGAGGAACAGAGAAGTCAATTTAGCTGGATCAGAGACTGCAGATAGGACAACAATGTATAATAAAGCTGGAAAGATAGGTTGTAGACAGGTTGTAAAGGGTTTTAAAAACTAAACAGAGGAGTTTTTCTTTTATCCTAGAAGCAATAGGAAGTCACTGGAATTCACTGAGTACAGGAGGTCAGATCTTCATCTAAGGAAAATCAACTTTGGCAACTGTATGGAAGATGAACTGGCTAAGGGAGAGATTGGAGGCAGGGAGAGAGATGTTGAAGAGGTAGAAATAACATGATCTGATAAGTGATTACATATTTGGGTGGGGGGAATAAGGAGTCAAGGATAAAACTTAGGTTATGAACCTGGGAAATTAGAAGAATGATAGTGCCTCTGACAGAAAGGAAAGTTTGGAAGAGGGGAGAGGAAGATGAGTTCTGTTTCTGGACATGTAGAATTTGAAATGTCCACAGGACATCTGATTTGAAATGTCCAACTGGCAACTGGTGATAGGGGACTGAAAGTCAGGAAAGAGACTGGGGCTGGATAGAGAGATCTGCAAGTCATCTGCACAGAGATAGTAACTAAGCCCACCTAGAGCTGGAAGGAAGCTCAGAAGCCATCTGGTCTAACTCCTTCATTTCATGGATGGGGAAAAATGAAACCCAGGGAGTAAGCATCAGAGGCTGGATTTGGACCCAGATCCCCTGACTTCACAATCATTGCTCTTTATACTGTGAAAAATTTTAAAGTGGAATTCAGGAAAGAAGCAAAAGATTCTACTTCAGTCAGTCACTTCCCCAACTTTTACAGCTGCCCTCTTGTCACCTTCATGTTCATCCTGTGTGACAACTTCAAAGCCAGCAGCTTTTCCTTCCTAGGGGGTTGAAGAGTGTAGGAAATTCTGTGAACACTCATTGGAATGAACTGAGTAGGAAGTATGGGGATACTTTAAATGTTAACCATTATAATTGTTGAAGAGGAAAAAACCTTTGTCCCTTAACAGGGAAATTCTTATTAAAAGCACAAAGTCCCCAAACAAGCCCAAAACCAAAGGTTAACCACTGGACTATGCAGCAGGACAACTGACAGATCCTTCTGGGTTCATAGGAGATAACTAAAATCAGAACTAAAAAGTGGCATTCATTCTATGAAGTACAGGTAACTTTCATTCAGGCATGGTAGAAGCCAATGAGGAGTTAGAGACAATGATGTCTTGTAAAAAAAGAAGACACAGATTGAGTCAAGATGAGTTGCTCTTTAGTAAGAAGTGTCAAAAAATACCAGATTTCAGGAACTGGATTATTAATTTCTCTAGGAGAATTCAAAGCTTTGCTAACATAAATGAATTAAGACAACATCATACTGGATTGCATTAAAACAAAATTTAATGGAAAGGAAAAAGCACAGATGGATCTAAAATGGGAGATAATGACTAATTTAACCTATTTCTAATGAGGCCCACCATCTCTGAAGCCTACTAGAGTAACACAAATATTCACAATGATGGATGAGACAAAGAATTCTAACCAAGAGAAGTTAACCAAGCCTAGACATTGCTTATACCCTGGTTCCAATAATCACTAGTGGGTCAATGGACAGAAACCACATCTAAGTCCATGTTAGACTAATGCCTAGGATTGCAACTCTTACATCATGTTGGTGACAACTACTTAAGTCTAAGGTGGTTGGCAATGGGTATTCTATGGTTCCATCAATTCCACTACAAGAAAAAGGAGTTAACTAATTTTTCTTCTTATATAGAGGCCTGACTGATAACCTTCATGACTTTCAACCTCCATTCTATCACTGTTCAAATTGCTTAATCTCTGTTTGCTGAATCAATGAACGGACAACAGATAAAACAGATGGAATTTCCTTTGGTATAATATTACCATAAATATCTATGGATGCCAGAATCATATAAATGAAAATGAGAGCTAAGACTTTAAAGAGCTAATCTAATCTGGCTCTACTTGTCTTAAAATAAAAAAAAAATTTAAAAAAAGGAAAGAGATTAAAACCAGGACTTGCCTAAGGAAAAAAAAAATAAGAAGAAAAGAACATTGTATGACAGTTGGTGGTTTTCTCAGGGGAAGTGTGACTGACAAATTAAGGAGTATTACACACAAGCAAAATGAGAGAGAAGAAGAAGGTGTGGGGCAAGGCTTCAACTCAAATAATGGAAAAATAATCATCCCCACAGTTGTGAGATATAATTCATTTTTAGACCCCTACTCAAATTCTAATAAGTATTAATCAGTTCAGAGTGATTCCATAAGGGGTAATGATTATCAGAAATTATTTTATTAAGTGACACATTCATCTAATAATACATATTCAGTCATTTATCTAATAATAGGTATAAGAATAAATATACACTAATCCATATTTTATACAAATCATCTAGGAATAACTGGACAAAATAGACAAATCACATAGGAAAAACCAGACAGAATAGGAGAAGGCCTCTCTAATAGGCCTCATATTCACTACTTCTTTACTAGCCATAAAGCTTACTTGAGTAACCATGACAATGCTGACAAAGATATCTCCCTCTTATTTTGGTCAAATTCCAAATGAACAAGCCAAGCACAGGTAGCGTGGTTAACAGAAAGTCCCTCAACTTGTTTCTGGTATCTATGTATGACTTGTACCATCTCTCTTCCTCAATATGAGGAGAAACCCATCCATTAGTGGAGATATTACATGCTTTACCTGACCTGTGACTCCCCCTGCTGACACACCATTTCTAGCTGATGGACCATATTTGGCCCTCAAAGCAAGGTCTATCAACCAATGGAATTCTGTATTTTGTGTAGCCCCTCTAGAGTGTTCAAGTATCAAACCCTATAAAAACAGGTCCTGGGGACCAGGGATATCTCAGACTGTGAGGAAGGTCTGGGGTCCACTTCATTTAGACAGGGCCAGGTCCCTTTGATAAAGTGCTATTGGCTTGGAGCTCTGCCTGTTTCTCTTTTTGTAGTCTGGGTGTTAATGTTCCCACATGGCAAAGAATTATCCAGTGAGAAATCAGAAAGAACAGTGCCACTCCAGAGAAGCTAACTTACAAAGGAAAAAGGCAGCCAGCCCACTAGACAATTTTAAATGCAAGGAGTTATTTCAACTCTCAGGGCCTAAGTTTCCTTAACTGTAAAATAGCAAAGTTTTTTCCTCCTTTAAAATAGATTTAGCTCTAAATTTGTGATCCTTTGATAAGAAGTATGGGTTAAGAATTAGATAATAGTCATCTAAGAGGTTTAAAAAAGAAGGTATTCAACTGAGGTATTTAGTTTATTTTTTCAAATGTGTGTATGTATTATATGTACTTTTTAAAATTAATTTTTTTTGGGTTTTGGTTTTTTTTGGCTAGGCAATGGGGTTAAGTAACTTGTCCAGGGTCACACACCTAGTAAGTGTCAACTGTCTGAGGCTGGATTTGAACTCAGGTCCCCCCTGACTCTAGGGCTGGTACTCTATCCACTGTGCTACCTAGTTGCCCTTTAAAATTCATTTTTTTTGATTACTTCTCAGAATGGCAACTTTTTGGTTTTGATCAGACCTTTGATTTCACTGGTACAGATAAGGCACTCCCTCTGCCAACACAGAGCACCTCTTGTCCTGCAAGATTAGTCTTAGGGAGCTTCCTGGAACCCTAAGAGCCATAGAGTCAGTTATGTGCCAGAAGTGAGACTTGAACCCAGGTCTTCCTAACCTAAGGCAGCACTTCTTAAACTGTGGGTCAAGACTCCATGTGAGGAGTCCTGAGTACTAAGTCCCTCCACTGGCAAAAGGACACAGTGTCAATGTTTAACAAAATAAATAAAAATACAATACAACATAATGTTAATCTGTGGTTTCCTCAGTCAATATGTGGCCTGGAGGAATCCATTTCTACTTAATCTGCACATTGCCTCTAAAATATTTTTTACATACAATGACTTGTTGGAGAAACTATTATCTTTGGTTAATCTTTCACCTCATTAGTCATAGAACCTTAGATAAAATGTAGTAAGTAAAAAGGAAAGGGAAGGCAAAGAAAAATATAACTCTTCCTAGTTGGAGGCAATGTGACTTAATGCCCACAATACTAAATTTGGAGTCCAGACCTGGGTTCAGATCTTACCTACAATATTTACTAGCTGTGTTAGGCAATTCATTTCAACACTCTTGCCTCAGTTTCCTCATCTATAAAATGGAGATAATATGTATACTACCTACCTCCCAGGGCTGCTGTGAGACTCAAATGAGATAATGCATGGAAAACACTTTGCAGAACTTAAAGCACTATATAAATGTTAGTTGTTATTATTATTATTCACCTTTGAACACAGTCTAGTGCTGAAGCAAGGACCACCAGGCTCCATATTTCCACTGGCCTCATTAGCAAACTATTCTAACTTACTGGCTAGTTAGGAAAAACTAACGAGGGGCACAGGAATGCAGGGAGATGACTACACTGGGCATGCTCCCTGCTCCAGGGTTCTCAGGACCAAGCACAGATTTGCCAGGCCAGGCGCTGCACGTGTCAACACATCTGTACAGAAAGATGGAAGCAGGGGAGTTTCTGAACTTAAGAAGGTCTGACAAGCTATAACAGGCCTCGTGCAGGAAGGTGGAGAAAGGACTGAGGCGGCGCCCTTGCATCCTTTACCATGTGGTGACTCACACAGGAGAAGGCAATGAACATTCTTTACCTCCTCCAGTTTGCTGAATTCCTTACAGAGTTCTGCTTTACGAGTGGTGCAGTCTTCCCCATTTCGTACTGCTATAAGAACATCCTTGGACAAAGATGGTATCTAGAAAGAAAACAGAAATTCTTAATATGTTGGTTTAAAGATAACTATTTTCCTTCTTCATCTAAAACAATAGTGGAGCCTTCTTAGGTCAATATTTTAAAGAAGCTATTATTTATTTGTTCGTGTATTTATAATTAGGCAGTTGGGTAGGTCACTGTATAGATTGCTGGGCCTGGAGTCAGGAAGACCTGAGTTCAAATTCAACCTCAGACACTTATACTAGCTCTATGATTTTGGGCAAGTCACTTAACCTCTGTTTGCCCCAGTTTCCTCATCTGTAAAAAGGAGATAATAACAGCACCTACCTCCACATGTTGTTGTGAAGCTCAAATGAGATAGTAATTGAAAAGCACTTAGCATAGTACCTGGCACATAGCAGGTACTATATAAATGTTAGCTATTATTATTGTCAGTCTGAGTAGTCCCTGAGTACTAAGTCCCTCCACTGACAAAAGCACACAGCCCCTCACAAGCACAAAGAGACAGTTTTCACAATTTGTTGTGGCCAAAATAGGTGATCACCTGGCAGGCCCACTGTCTGATGATGAGCCTCCAATCTTAGATTGGTCAGTCTTTGTATGACCGATGGGCTGTCACTGGGGCCATATCCAGGCATAGCAAGACTTGCCAGTTTGCTTCTCTGAAGCAGGTAAACTAGGGTCACCTCTTTGCTGTGACAAGACAGTAGGGAAGACATTCAGTGTTAACTCTTGAACACTAAATTTGTGACATTACACTTATTTTATAGGCTTGCCAAGGTATTACTCATCCCTATGCTCCAGGAGATACAAGCTTTTCTTTTTTTCAGTATGGGGGGGCCAGACTTTAAAAGGGTGTTGTACATAACTCCGTACATAACTGATTTTCTTATAATCACACAGTCTTTATAATCATAAGGAACTGAGTTTTCATTTCTAGTCAAACCAAGCAGTCAATTGCCTAGCTACTTTTTCTCCCTTTGTCTCCAAGATCTCTCTCACAAGCCACACAGTTTTATCCTATTATCTCCTACAGGGCAACCCACCCAAACTGTATTTTCTAATAAAGGGCAGTCTCTCCTAGGAGCTTCTTCCCATCCTTATGTTCTTTCCTCTTTAAAATACCTCCTGCAGCCATAAGTTCTTCCCCCCCACACACACACTTAATAGTATTTTTTTCCCAATTACATGTAAAGATAGTTTTCAAAATACACTTTTAGAAGATTTTGATTTCCAATTTTTTCTCCCTCCCTCCTCTTTCCCCTCCCCAACACAGCAAGCAATCTGATATGTTATACACATACAATTGTATTAAATATATTTCCACATTAGTCATGTGAAAGAAGAATCAGAACAAAATGGAAAAATCACGAGAGACTAAAAACAAACAAAAAAGTGAAAATAGTGTGTTTTGATGTGCATTTAGACTCCATAGTTCTTTCTTTGGATGTGGATAGCATTTTGCATCATGAGTCTTTTGAACTTGGATCATTGCCAAGAAGAACTAAATGCATCATAGTTGATCATCACACAATGTTGCTATTACTGTGAACAGTGTTCTCCTGGTTCTGCTCACTTCACTCAACATCAGTTCATGCAAGTTTTTCCAGGTTTTTCTGAAATCTGCTTGCTCATCATTTCTTATAGCACAATAGTATTCCATTACATTCATATACAACTTATTCAGCCATTCCCCAATTGATGAATATCCCTCAATTTCCAATTCTTTGCCACCATAGAAAGACCTGCTATAAATATTTTTGTACATGTGGGTCCTTTTCCCTTTTTTATGATCTCTTTGAGATACAGACCTAGTAGAGGTATTGCTGGATCAAAGGGTATGCAATTTTATAGCCCTTTGGGCATGGTTCCAAATTGCTCTCCAGAATGGTTGGATCACTTTACAATTTCACTAACAATGCCTTAGTATTCCAATTTTTCCACATATTCTCCAATACTTATCATTTTCCTTTTCTGTCATATTAGCCAATCTGATAGGTGTGAGGTGGTACCTCAGTTTTAATTTGCATTTCTCTAAATAATAGTGATTTGGAGCATTTTTTCACATGACGATAGATAGCTTTAATTTCTTCATCTGAAAACTGCCTGTTCATATCCTTTGACCAGTTATCAGTTGAGGAATGACTTGTATTCGTATTAATTTGACTCAGTTCTCTATATATTTTAGAAATGAGGCCTTTATTAGAAACAATGGCTGCAAAAATTATTTCCTAGCTTTCTGCTTTCCTTCAAATCTTGGTTTCATTGGTTTTGTTTGTGTAAAGACTTCAATTTAATGTAATCAAAATTATCCATTTTGAATTTCATAATGTTCTCTCTTTCTTGCTTGGTCACAAATTCTTCCATTCTCCATAGCTGTAACAGGTAAACTATTCCTTGTTCTACTAATTTATGGTAGTACCCTTAATGTCTAAATCATGTACTCATTTCAACCTTATCTTGGTATACAGTGTGAAATGTTGGTCTTAGTCTATTGACTAGTTTCTGCCATACTATTTTCCAGTTTTCCCATCAGCTTTTGTCAAAAACTGAGTTCTTAATCCTAGAAGTTGGAGTGTTTGGGTTTCTCAAACAATTGATTACTATAGTCATTTATTACTGTGTCTTGTGTACCTAGTGTATTTCACTGATCCACCAGTCTGTTTCTTAGGCAGTACTAAATAATTTTGATGAGTGCTGCTTTATGATATAATTTTAGACATGGTACAGCTAGGTTACTTTCCTTGCCTTTTTGGGGTTTTTTGTCATTAATTCCCTTGATATTCTTGACCTTTTGTTTTTCCAGATGAATTTTATTATTTTTTTCTAGTTCTATAAAACAATTTTTGGTAGTTTGTTTGGTATGGCATTGAATAAATAAATTAATTTAGGTAGAATCATCACTTTTATTACATTAGCTTAGCCTGCCATGAGCAATTGATATTTTTCCAATTGTTTATATCTGACTTTGTTTGTGTGAAAAGTATTTTGCAATTGTGTTCATATAGTTCCTGGGTTTGTCTTGGCAGGTAGGCTCCCAAATATTATATATTATCTACAACTATTTTAAATGGAATTTCTCTTTTTACCTCTTACTGCTGGGACTTGTTAGTAATATATGGAAATGTTGATAAATTTATGGGTTTATTTTATATCCTGCAACTTTGCTAAAGTTATTAATTACTTCAAATAGTTTTTTAGTTGATTCTCTAAGTATACCATCATATCACCTGCAAAGACTGATAGATTTGTTTCCTCATTGTCTATTCTAATTCCTTCAATTTCTTTTTCTTTCTTACTGCTAAAACTAACATTTCCAGTACAATGTTGAATAATAGTGGTGATAACGGGCATCCTTGTTTCACTCCTTATCTTACTGGGAAAGCTTCTAGCTTATCCCCATCACATATGCTTGCTGATGGTTTTTAGATAGATACTACTTATCATTTTAAGGAAAACTCCATTTATTCCTATGCTCTCTGGTGTTTTTAATAGGAATGGATGCCAAAAAGTTTTTCTGTATTTATTGAGATAATAAAATGAGTTGTTATTAGTTTTGTTACTGATATGGTCAAGTATGCTGACAGTTTTCCTAATATTGAACCAACCCTGCATTCCTGGTATAAATCCCCCCTGGACATAATGTATTAATCCTGGTGATAAATTACTGTAATCTCTTTGCTAATATTTTAAAATTTTTGATGCAATATTCATTAGAGAAATTGGTCTATAATTTTCTGTCTTAGCTCTTCCTGGTTTAGGTATCAGCACCACATTTATGTCATAAAAAGAATTTGGTAGGACTCCTTTGCCTATTTTTTCAAATAGTTTATATAGTATTGGAATTAATTGTTCTTTAAATTTTGGTAGAATTCACTTGTAAATCCATCTGGCCCTGGACATTTTTTCTTAAGGAGTTCATTAGACTTCCGCTTCCAGAAGCCAAGATGGCGGAGTGAAAAGGTAGTCGCTCTCACTCTCCCCTATCAGCCTCTAAAAACCCAGAAAATATCACCCCAGAAAAAAAACCCTGGAACACCTGAACTAGAAGAAAGACAGGGAGCAGCAGTGCCATAGCCCAGCAAATGGGTCTCCCAGTGCCTCTGCAAAAATAAGGGAGGCAGAACTACAAGGGGCCCCAGGAAGATAAGTACCCTGCAGCATTCATCTGAAGGGAGGTGAAGAAAACAACCTAAAGGCTTCCTAAAGCCCCAGCCTTGCTGATTCCAGCCCAATGCCAGGTGAGCTGTCAGAGCCCTGCAGCCTCCAATTTGTGAAGAAATCCTGAAGCCCAGGTGGTAGAGCAGGCAAACACCAACACCTGGACCTCTGAGTGCCTCAGTAAGGGCGGGAGGGGAACCAGTGGAAACCAGTTCAGAAAACCACCAGGAGCCTCAGCACTCCACCACAAAGGAATCTCCTGGTGCATTAGCAGAAATGAGGGAGACAACACTGCAGGGGGCCCCAGGCAGATAAACACCCTGCAGCACCCATCTAAAAGGAGCTGAAGAAAGCTAAAGGAAAAGAAAAGCAGGCAACCTAGAATTGCCTGAAAGTTCCAGCCTTGCTGATTCCAGCCCAACACAAGGTAGGCTGCCAGAAACCTACAGCCTCCAATTGCCAGCATGAGAGGCCCCAGCACGCAAAGCCAGTGACCAAGACCTGGGCTTCCAACACAAGAAGCTTGGGTCAGTGCCCTCTGTTCCCCAGCAGGAGAGCTCAATCTCTTTAAAGGCCAGGGAATAAAGAAACACCATGAGTAAAAAGAAACATACCATAGATTCATATTATGAGAAGAGTGAAGATCAAGACAGAAATTCTGAAGAGGACAACATTGTCAACAAACCCACATCTGCAACAACAAAAGGGAATATGAACTGGTCTGAAGCCCAAAAAGCCTTCTTAGAAGAGCTCAAGAAGGATTTTAATAGTCAAATGAGAGAGGTAGAAAAGTCCTTCAAAAATACAATTGGCCAATTGGAAAAAAAAATACACTGAAGAAAACAAGTCCCTAAAAAACAC